ATTCTTTGCCATCATTGATTGTCGTCGTCGGAGCATAGTATTCGAGATACCGGATCACCCGAGATTTGAGTTCCTTAGTGGCAGTATATCGACCGGACCTATGGAGTACAGAGCTAGACCGAAAAAGGCGACGTTAGCTGCAATGCAAGTGGAATCTGAGAAGCCAGTTGTAGTTAAAGAATTTGAAGATGTGTTTCCCGATGATATTTACGGATTGCCACCGGATCGAGCGATTGAGTTTTCCATAGATTTAAAGCCTGGAGTTGGGTCGATCTCTAAGACCCCTTATTGCATGCCTCCGGCAGAGTTGGCCGAGCTTCGGACTCAGTTGGATGATCTTTTGCAGAGAGGGTTGATACGACCTAGTGTATCGGCCTGGGGAGCACCTGTGTTGCTTGTGGGGAAGAAGGATGGATCCAAGCGGATGTGTATCGACTACCGGGAGTTGAATGCGGTGACAGTGAAGAATAAGTATCCACTTCCCCATATCGATGATATCTTCAATCAATTGGGAGGATCGAGAGTATTTTCTAAGCTGGCTTTACGGAGCGGGTATCACCAGGTGAAGGTTAAGGATTCTGATGTCCCCAAGACTGCGTTCCGGACGAGATATGGACATTATGAATTCTTAGTGATGCCGTTTGGTGTGACTAATGCGCCAGCGACATTCATGAACCTGATCAATATAGTGTTCTATGATGTGTTGGACAAGTTTGTGGAAGTCTTTATTGATGATATCTTGGTGTACTCTAAGAGTGAGGCGGAGCATGCAGAGCATTTGCGGTACGTATTGAAGACCTTGAGAGAGCATCAGCTATTTGCCAAGTATAGTAAGTGCCAGTTCTGGTTAGATCGTATAGCATTTCTGGGACACGTGGTGTCAGGAGACGGCATATCAGTGGATCCAGAGAAGGTATCTGCAGTGAAGGATTGGCCTATCCCTAAGTCGGTGTCTGATATTAAGAGTTTTCTAGGATTAACTGGTTACTACCGTCGCTTCATCAGAGATTTTTTGAAGATTGCGGAGCCGATGACATGACTTACGAGGAAGGATATTAAGTTTGTCTGGTCCGATGCTTGTGAGCAGGCGTTTGAGGAGTTAAAGTCTCGACTGATTTCAGCCCCGGTCTTGACAATACCAGATAAGAGTGGGAACTTTGAGGTGTTTTGCGACGCATCAGGGGATGTGTTCTTCAGCAGGATGGTCATGTGGTAGCATATGCTTCTCATTAGTTGAAGAAGCACGAGCAGAATTATCCTACCCACGACTTAGAGTTGGCAGCCGTGATTTTTACCCTTAATCTTTGGAGGCATTATCTGTTGGGAGAGCAAGTGAAGGTGTTCACCGACCATAAGAGCTTGAAGTACATATTTACTCAGAAGCAGCTCAACATGAGGCAACGTCGATGGTTAGAACTGATGGCGGATTATGACATTGATCTTCAGTATCACCCTGGCAAGGTCAATGTGGTACCAGATGCTTTGAGTCGTTTGCCGGCAATCATGACCCTCACGGCTCAGTGGAGACTTCAACAGGAAGTGAGGGATATGAGTATAGAAATTCTTCTTCCAGGAGTCAACGCTTCTTTGATGAATCTTCAGATTCAATCAACACTGGTCGAGCGAATCAAGGCAGCTCAAGCAGATGACCCATTTCTTCAGAAGTGCAGAGAGTTAGCAGTGGCTGGTCTTCGACCGGAATTTGTTGTTCATGAGGACGGATCCTTGCGATTTGGGAGTCGTATCTGCGTACCAGGAGGAGATATTCGAGAGGAGATATTATGAGAAGCTTATAGTTCACCATATTCTATTCACCCTGGAGGTATGAAGATGTATAAGGATCTGAAGCTGAATTTTTGGTGGCGTGGTATGAAGAGAGATGTGGCTCGTAGTGTAGCTAAGTGCTTTGTGTTCGCGGGAAAAGTTGGTGTTTTCTTCATTATCGATGTCATTGCACTCAGTTAACAACTTTATGCGTTACAAAGAGATCCGGTCTTTTTATAAGATCCGGCTTACAATGAAAATCAAAATAAAACAAAGAAATCAAAATTACAACTTCTCTCTTTTACCGAACAAATCACAAGATCCTGTTATCCGGTCTCTTGCTTTGTGGGGTTGTTTGCCTGCGCCGGGGTTGCTTACCGTGGACCACCGCGTGATCTGGATCCAAGCAGATCTACGACGTATTACGGGTATTATCCCACCAAGGAGATAATAGCCGGGAGGGATCGTTTCACCAAGGAAACGACCGCTCGAATCTCGGGATCTAAGAACCAAGCTTAGATCCGGAGTGTAACGACGTAGATCTGAGGATTAGACTGTGGCTGGATTCAAATCGCTGATTGGACTCAGGAGGTTGAGGCTGTTGAGTTAACAGTTCTCTCATTTGTTGGATAGCCAACTTCATTTCTGTCTTCACTTCAGCTCTAATTTCTTCACGTTGTTTGGCTAGAGCTTCTTGAAGTATTTGAGCGAACTGATCAGAGGTGATTGTGAGTACTTCTCTGGTCTGTCCCGTGCTAGACATTGTATCATCAGAAGCGATTGCAGAATAAGTGTCCGAGAATTCATCCTCCGAGGACATTCCTTCTTGCATTCTTTTGTAATCTCTGCGTCTGATGGCTCCTAATTGGAGTCGAGACATCCTTTGAGCAATTCTTGGATTGACTTTTCCTTTCGGAGAAAAGTCGGGATTTGAGTCACTTGAATGCCGTTTAGACTTTCTTTTATCAGCCACGTTGATGGTGACTTCAGGGAATTCATCATCTTGGGCAGCTGATTTTCTCTCGCGGAAATGTCTCGGCTTAGGCTTCGACGATACAGAGACTCTTCGTGGGATGGCTTCTCGTTTGAAACAATCACATCCTGATAATGCTGCTTTAACGAGTCGCGCACAGGAACACCGAGAGTTTATTTCTCGAATAACTCTCTTTCGAAAATTATTCACAACCCCAACTTGATAATACGATTCATCGGTATGATTACCAAAAAATCGTATCGTCTGTTGGCATGACCTCCCAGGTATGACGATATCATTTGGTGAATGCGTCTTCTTCTGGGGGCGTAAAACCTTATTGGCATTCTCAGGACAATTTATTTTTGTCTTTGAGCGATCCAAGGTTATGTCGGGAATCGCACGTCTAAAACCACCCCCTTGCGGGTACGGAGTCTTAACGGGCTCTGAATGCTGATTTTGCATAAGTCCAGATTTTGGAATTCAAACTTGGCAGAGTTTCGGTGGTTCTTTGGTCACCGTTTCCTTCCTCCTTTCTCGTCTTTGTTGTAGGAGAGTTCGGACATGAGCAGCATTTGCACGACGTTTTTGTATACGTTCTTTGAGGGTCGAACGAGTCCTTTTGACAATAGTCCATTCCTCCGTCGTGAGTTTAGCAGAGACATGAATGATTGGTTGTTGAGACAACTGAACCACTCGATGCCTCCTCGACTCTAAGTCCGCATGATAACGAACTCCGTCGGTTTGTTCCAAGGCCTTAGCTATTTGACAAGCGCGGCGTTGGCGTTGTCTTTGACGAGCTCTTTTCGTCAATGCCGGTGGGCTTTGATTTAATGACTCTTTACTTGGCGAAGAGCCATTATGAGCAGAGAGGTTGTGAGTAGAATCCTCAGCAACAATCAGGCGAGAGTCTTCATTCTGTGCCTTCTTTGGCATGGAAGTCTTCTTCAATGTTGAGATCCTCTTGTACTTGCGAGACAACGAAGATCTTGAAGAGGATGATGAGAGATATTCCTCAAACTTGGTTTGGTCGAATTCGTATTCGACCATGGATTCAACTGGAATCTTGATCGGCTGCGACACGACGGTCTCGGCAGCGAGACCGTTGGCTCCCACTATGGTCGCCAGTTTGTTTGCGTCAAAAGTTGGTTTTGTCATGGAATTCATTATATCTTCAGTCGATTACAATAAATTCAAAAGAAATAGCCTTTTTATAAGACTTATTTTACACAACAAAATAAAAATTACAACTTTTGGGAAACAAACGCAGGATCATTGGGAGTTGCCAGAAGCTCGAGTACTCTGCCTTCTCTGCTCTGGAATCAGCCTATGGATGCTCTCTGATCAGCCTTGGATCTCTGCTGGAAGCCCCCCTCAAAGAAATCACCTCGGGGGTATTTATAACCTCTGTATGAACAGTGCTCGCGAGACAGCGTTTGCTGTCTCGGCGGGCGAGACAGCGTTTGCTGTCTCGCTGGCCAAGACAGTGTTTGCTGTCTCGCCCAGCGAGACAGTAAATTTGCTGTCTCGCCCAGCGAGACAGTAAATACTGTCTGACAGTTTCTCGCTGTATTTGCCTTCCCACGTTTTAAACTCCGTTATTCTGGTAGTTATCAACGTGATTCTCGCCCACGACGTTCCCCACGTTCTTGAACAGTTGGTGGCCACGTGTCGGCGGTTATAAAGTGGTTTCTAACTTCTTTGAAAACTGTCTCATGGGCGAGACAGAGAATGCTGTCTCGCGGGCGAGACAGAGAATGCTGTCTCGCCTGGCGAGACAGTAAAGACTGTCTCGCCTGCGAGACAGAGAATGCTGTCTCGCCTGGCGAGACAGTAAAGACTGTCTCGCATGCGAGACATCCCAAACTTGTGTTCTTCTGCCTTTTTGGATGATTTCTTCTTGAGCTGTATTTGGATATCTCTCAGCATTTTTTGACGCCTACAATTAGCATCATCTAGTTTTCGGGTGATGAAAAAGATCAAGTATCGGTACTTTCTGGTTTTACTATTTTGATAGATCTTCTCTGAAATATTTTGTTGTAAGGCTTCACAGAGCATTAGTGTCGGTATAAAATAAGTCTCCATGTATGGTCTGTTGATATCTTCTTGAAATTCCTTCAAATTTAATTGAAAACCATTCAGACATCTTCCCCTAATATTTAGTCATAAAGTTTATCATACTGCTAGAGTCAACAGGAACCAAGTCTCCTTCATTGGTTTTTATTGGATGGATGTATTATCTGTTGTATGTTCTTCAATCCTGCAGGCTGAACTGGCAAGCATGGTGCAAAAGCAAGCTGATGAAGATGTACTAAAACTGATTGAAGAGCAGAAGGTTATTTAATCTTTACTGTTTGTTTCTTGAAATGTTTGGCTATGCGCTAATGTTCATCTACTTACTATATATGTATCCATTGCTTTCTGGATGTGATTATATTTTTCAGAGGGAAAAAGAGGCTGCTATCACAAATATACTTCAATTAGAGAAACGGCTGGACCAGAAGCAACAACTTGAGTTGGAAATAGAGCAATTGAAAGGACAGTTATTGGTTCTTAAGCATTTGGAAGGCGAAGATGATGTAGATCTACATGAGAAGATGGAGAAAGTCAATGAGAAGTTGCGACAAGAAAGGGAAGAGCTGGAACTCCTGAACAACTCTTTGGTCAAAAAAGAGCGTGAGAGCAATGATGAGTTGCAAGAAGCTCGCAAAGAGTTGATAGCAGTGAGGATCCTTTTCCCCTTCATTTCAGTTTGGGGTTAATTCTGGATAGACCCCTTGTAGTACTGCCCGATTGTGGATACGGGATACCCCCCCACCCCTGGCGTAGTTCTATTGTCAGGGATAGATCTCCTGAGTATAACTTTTTTGACTCTTCTGTCCTCAAGAGGTCTATTTGTCAGAAAACAAATTTCTCTCTGTGAGGGTAGAAGAGTCAAAATTACTCTGGGTTTTATCTGCAACAATAGAACTACAGGGTGTCATG